GCGCCCCCGCTAATTAGCGTGTTTTCGTCCCGCGACCCCGCCAAGCGAAAAGTCGAGAAGTAACAAATTTAAATGGCGGGGGCGCGGGGCGAAAACACGAATGGCATAAATCAGCCACCGTACATATCAGCCATTGACTAATAACAGTGAGACCATTACTCAATGTGTTCTGAATTGCAGACTTGGATTTTTCAGAGACAAGGATGGCTGAATCATCAGCATAGAGAAGCAATTTATGGTTAGTTACTGCTGATATATAATTTACGTAAATAAGAAACAAGGTCCAAGGTTAAAAAAAATTAATGAGCTCAAACTTAGATCTCTAGAATTTGATTGGTAAGAAAAACAGAATGTACACTGACCAATTAAAATCCTGAGATTCGAGTCAGAACTCAGATAAAAGTTGTATAACCTTGGGGCCAGGAGCGAACCCAATATGGAACCCTGAGAGACGCCACAAGATATATTTGCAGTGGAGGACTTTGAGCCAGATACCTCTTCAAGATGTTGTCTATCAGAAAAATAGGATGAAACCCATCTGATGGAAGACTTATTTAGACCAAGGGCTTGAAGTTTCATTAAAACAATAGGATGATTGACCGTATCAAAGGCCTTCTGTAGGTCAAGCATGACCATGCCAATGAGGCTACCTTTATTCATCTCAAAGCGAATATAATCGGTGAGGTGGATGAGACTTGTGACTGTTGAAAAGCTACGCCTAAAACCAGACTGAAGATCATACAGAAGATTTTTATGTACTAGATATTCCTTTAATTGGTCATAAATTACATGTTCAAGATAAAATACTAAGGATAGATACAGGTCGGTAGTTACGAACTTCATTCTTTTTATATAAAGGAACAACACGAGCAGATTTAAGATCATCAGGGACCGAACCCTGTATGATTGACAGATTTATAATATGGGACAGGAAACCTGCAATGATAGTGGCAGAGTCTTTAACAAAGCGTGACGGTATGCCGTCTAGTCCAGTAGTCTTGTTTCGACTCAGATTGTTAAGATATTTGTAAATTTTACTTTCTGTTACAACTGAAAAGAAAACCTGTCTGGTTTAACCCCTTTAGAGGAATAAAAATTAAAAACAAAGCTTCTACCAAATCTTTAACAATTGTAGGCAATTTACTAGCAAGTTTATCTGCTACAGAAGTATAAAATGCATTAAATTGTTCTGCAACTTTTAGTTTATCAAAGCGAACTTCACCTTCAATATTAAGACCAATATTGGTTGAGCCTTTGTTACATTTACTAGGTAAACCTAAGTTCTTTAGGGTTTTCCACAAAGACTTAGAGTCACTCTTGTTGCATTCCAAAGAAGATTTAACAAAGTTCTTTTTAGCATTTAAAATAACAGTGCTAGCCTTATTTCTTAAAGCTCTTAAGATTTTCAAATTCTCTTCAGTTTTGTCTTTTTTGAATTCAGAAAAAGCTTTATCCCTAGCCTAAATGCATTGCAAAACTTCAGAATCAATACATTCTTCCGTTCTCTGTTTGACAAGCGAAAATCTATCGCCCAAACACTCGGTCATGTATATAATATTTCACTACTCGACAGTCAGATTTGTATAATACGCGCTGAAGTGAGGCCATAGCGGCCTCGCTAAAGATAGCGCATTGTTTATGTGAAATGAATTATCGGGTGCTTAACTTATAAGACCGTTACTTATGGTAGAAATTGATTATCAATCATCCACTACCCTAAATTCGTCCCTGTCCTAGAGTCAACATCCTTACTTTATTTTTCAGAAAGTCTTAATAACAAATGTTCACTTAGGCGGCGTTTAATTCCGAAGCTTTTCGAAAATAGCCGATCAATTGTCATTGATTAAAATGATATTCATCCGCGTAATTTGTGATTGTGCTTTATTGACAATTCTATATGCCAAAGCTACTTTTAAACTTTTTATGCGTTATAATTCGTTGGATACTTGTAACAAAATAAAAATATTTCTATCTTTTACATCGCTTATTTTAAGCTGTTTTGAGAACTACCTTTTGTTGTTCAGATTGTCGGGAAGCGCTGTTCAAGAAATAGAATGTCAGCATTGTATGCCTACTTGTAAATAGAGGATATTTAGTTGTTCTGAGTAAATATGCCATGTTACTTCAGACCACGAAGTGGGAGAATTATTTTTCACAACCGCGTATCACACCTGGACATGTTTTATCACGTGGTTGTGTGATTATTTAAATGTTCATGTATAGCATATTCAAAAACAACAACAAAAGAAAAACGAAACAAGAAAAAATACCATACAGTAGGTGCTATTTTAGCCGTATGCAATGTGAAAATTGATTCCTTTGTTCACTTTACAATATTTAACTTAAGAAAATATTTATCCCAAACAGTGATTTTATCGCTCAATAAAATCACTGTTTGGAGTTCGGATGCGAGGAATTACATCACGAGGGCGTAGCCCGAGTGATATGATAATGCGCATCCGAACGATGTGATAGACTCAGAGCCACATGTGACCCAAACTGGCATTTTCAATAACATTAACAGCAATAATTATTATAAAATAAGACAAAATTATTTCAGTTTATTTGTTCCCCTTTAATTTGATATACAGCAGAACGGGATTTCAACAACTTCAAGTGTCTTACACACATCCACTAACAAGTGTCTCTTAATTATATACTGATGTTATTTAGTGTCAGTTAAATAATACAATGATACCCACGTGATACCCATATATATATATGGATAAAGAGAAATACTTAGAAAACATCTTGACACTGGAAATAAAAGAACAATCGACAGAATAAATGTGATTTTTGTTTAATTTCTTAAAGTAAGTAAGCCCTAAAAGTGTTCTTCGTTGCAAGGACAATATATCTAGTGTTGAATAGATGAAATTAGATTTGTTAACTTATAAATTTCCTTGAAATTCTCTTTCTTTTAGACTTAAAATACATTTTAGCGAGTGTCTGTCAGAGGTTGAAGGTTACCCGAAAAAGAGTATCAGGGCAGTTGTTACTGAGTTTACCTGGGGAATAACGTCATCATTGCGGTGGAAAAATAATATTAGTGCAGTAATTGTCATTGATTTGAGAAAAATGCTTAAAGCACAAGACACACAATATATCTATAAGGAATTTTGCGGAAACATATATATATATATAGGCCACAAAAAATTGGCAAAGCTATGTTAACAACACTATGAGTGACATAATATGAGTAATATGGGCTTTATATCACTAGATAGAAAGCCAGACTTTCATTTATAAGCATAAATAAACTATTACAACGATTTGACAGAGTATTTCATGCATATCAGATTCCATGTGTTTCCATTAATTTCGTCTGTCATGTGGGTGCCAGATGAGTCGCGTGCTATACAAGGGCATGCTTAGGATGACTTTATTTCGCCGTTGTGAATGAAGTTGTAATTTCATACGCTGCTGTAAGAAAATTGTTACGGGTTTAATGACATATATTTCCATGGAAAATTGTTTTATGAAGGAAAAGGATTTAAAATATGATAAAAATGGTAGAATATGCAACAAAAATATCCAACATATTTTTGCGGTTCGGATTGGAATATCCGTCTCTCGGGAACCTGCCAATGGGGGGGGGGTCCTTGGGGACGTATATTCTGATCTGAACCGCAGCATATGACAGATATTATTAATCTCAAATAGCAACCCAAACTGATGACAAAATAAAATATACTGCAGTACGCTTAATATTTTATCGTCAGTAATGTCTGAAACGGTAGCTTAGTGGGCGTTGGATAAGAGAGATAGTGTGTTCGATTCTTAATTTATTAAATATATTTTATACAATATTTTATTATCATTTTAAAATATCAATACAATAAAGATAACAACAACTCTAAAATTAAAATTAACAGGTTTCACCAAAAAAAGCTTTATCTGATCAAATCGTCCATCGCAATTGTAAAGTATTCACTGTATAACAATACTTCAGACATGAAATATGTTAAAATTATGTAAAAACATGTCTGCAGGTCTTAAACAGAATGAAAAGGCAAAAACGAATAGACCAATAACCAACCAAGCGTACTTGACCATGATGTATACAAATAAAGATATTTGAATGAACAAGTATATTGCCTTTTGATACGGTGGCACAAAGGTGACATGTGTATGTTTTTATTTATCTCATCCGCACGAGATACTATGTCGTGGCCAAAGTTACTAAGTCGTGACCACGAGTTACTTAGTCGTGGGCACGAGATAGTTGAGTCGTGCGAACGAGATACTATGTCGTGGGCACGAGATAATTAAGTCGAGGGCACGAGATAATTAAGTCGTGGGAACGGGATACTATATCGTGACCACGAATTACTATGTCGTGGCCACGAGTTACTTAGTCGTGGCCACGAGATAATTAAGTCGTGGGGACGAGATACTATGTTGTGGCCACGAGATACTATGTCGTGGCCACGAGTTACTTAGTCATGGCAACGAGGTATTTAAGTCGTGGGAACGAGATACTATGTCGTGGCCACGAATTACTAAGTCGTGGACACGAGATAATAAAGTCGTGGATATGAGATACTATGTTGTGGCCACGAGTTACTAAGTCGTGGCCACGAGTTACTAAAACGAGTTACTGGCCACGAGATAGTTAAGTCGTAGGAACGACATACTATGTCTCGGCCACGAATTACTAAGTCGTGGCCACGAGATAATTATGTTGTGGGAACGAGATACTCTGCTGTAGCCACGAGTTATTAAGTCGTGGGAACGAGATACGATGTTGGCTAAGGACTGTACAAAATAACCTTATAAATGTATACATGTACGTATATTATACAAAAATGTAATTTTGCAATAAATCAAAATTTACTAAAATTTTACCAAAAAGTTCTAAATTCTTGATTTGTTTTGAAAAGAGAACAACAGGATGATCAAGACAACATGTTAAATTCATCAGTACACGTTAAGGTCAATAATGAAAAATTAAAATTAGATTAAAATATTTGATAAAATATTTATTATATTTTACTTACAAAAATACTGATATCCATTGTCTTGTTTATGTTGTCCCATCAATGTTAACAAAAAACAATTGATCTAAGCCTTTTTAATCTGAGTCATTACTTTTAAAACGGATATATATACTTGTGTAATAAGTAATTGATATATATGTGTTTTTAAAGGGAGTTTTCATCATTATACTGTATATGTATCTATTTATATTTACAACTACACTACAAGTATATACCTAGTTAACTATAACTTGAAAATACTGAAAATATTTTGTAAAAATCAAAAGTTAGTCAAGGCTTATAGAAATTTCACGTTTAAACAAAAACAAAGCGGTTGTTGATTTTAACTTCCGGATAGGAGTTAAAAATTGTTATGGTAAATTACACGAGACCACGAGCTCTAGGTGACATGAATAAAGGGTACTTAAGAATGGGCCGAGAACACGTAGCATGTTATCTGAAGTTATCTTCAGCACTTCAAATTTCAAGCAATAGTGAATTAAAATTCAAATATAAATCTACGAGGCTTTATATAATATATCAAGTAAAAATAAACAGGTATGAAGCATTTTATGTTTAGTCAGTTTCTTTAAAACTCCTATCTTTCTAATCTAAAATCAGTGAAACCAATTAATAGTTATTTAAGTAAAATCTTGAAAGATCAGTATAAATATGATAGTAAAATGTGTACATTTTTTGCTATTTAATTATTTAAAAGTCCCTTAATGTTTGCGGTGCCTCTGCGTGTGTGCGTGTACCTGCTTTTGTGTGAATAAATAGACGGCATTGGGTCCAAACTGTCACAAACCAGGTCAACAGTCAATATTAGTTAATAATTCTACAGTTTTTTAGAAGCCCTATGCACAAAAGGGGTTCACTCTAAAACTGAATTATAAAAACGTCTAAAAGGGGCCATAACTTACCCCGAAAATGATACTAAATGACAATAACTCTGCGAAAAAAGTCTAAATTCAATAGTAAATGTATGAAAGATTTACACGAACGTATGGCAAGAAAAGTCATAATATACTTAGAAAATAAAACTTTCTTGGAACTGCTGTTCTCGTTTTTAATCTATTGCAATAGAATATACTACAGTGTATATATCCTAAGAGCGGCCAACAACTTTTTAAGCAGTTTCATACATACACCACTTCCAAGTAATGTTTATTTGTCCGAAAGAAAATTCTTTCAACCATAGAAAAATGTGATCATTTTTTTAAAAAAGCAAGAAGTGTTTCGACCATGCATAATTTTGTTACCTTAAAGATTTATTTTCCGTAAGTACAATCGTTTTAGATGGTATGTCACGTGACTTACATTTGCTAAAATAAAGGTACAATCCAGTGACCTCTGTGTTTTTGTCTACGAGCACAGTATGGATCAGTTAACAATCTACATATCAATATTTCTTCATTTGTTTCTCTGTCGCCACGAAACTTAACGAAGTATGAATCTCCTGCATTAATAACATGTGTCATTGATCATGTTGTCGCCTGCGAATCGATTTAATATGTCATGTTGAGAAGATGGTATATGGGGCAACTTAGAATTTTGCATCACAGTTGGTAAAGCTGGTAAGTTGCGTACATGAAACATTTATCTTACCCTTTACTTATTCAAGCATTGTTCTCTTAAACTTGTTACTATTGGTCTTTGTGTGTTTTTTCCGAAGAACAGTATTATAGTATCATATTAAAGAGTTCATATTTTTCACCGTAGGAATACTCCTGTGGATGTAACTACATTTTAATTGCCCAGCATATCTATATCTAAATTATACATATAAATGCCATAATACATGTACACAAAGAAATATTGTTCACAATATACATTGTTTGGAAATATTACACAGAAAGGAAATCAGTTGCCTGTATAAACTGTTTCTGTCGTAAATATAAAAAAAATCTTCAATTCAGGAAATTATAATTGTTACGAATAAAGTACAGTTCTTGGATTTGTCTTTTTTTTTTAAAAGAACGCTGCGAAAAAACATCGATCATACGCTCGATTAAAAATAGTGACAACGTTATTTAGATTTATGTTTTTTAATGTAATTTTGGATATCAGGATTTTTTATGAATACTAATACTGTTCCTGGTTAAAATTCAAATAATACTATTAAAACATGTCAGAAGTGTGTGTGTATACTCTTGGTATGTGACATTAGTCTTAAAATGCAACAGGTATTCCTTTAAAGCTATAATATTAAGTTACACCAAGGACAGTCTAAGTAAAGGAAGAAAACAATAAATAAGACAATTTATATACAACAATCACATTTTCTTCAACATTCCGACTCAGCTTTAGATGTTAATGTATTGATGTACAATTCATTAATGTAAAATGTTTATTTATCAAAACAGTAAGAGATGAAAAAGACTCCCATACAATATAATATCAAATATCAATTTCAACCGTCTAGACTGACTTTATTGTGGTAGAATAAGCAAGCAAGTTATTATCTCCGGATGCATTGAAAGAAAATGTGTTATTTCTATTATTTTACCAGTGCATTATTCACATCTTTAGCCATTAACAATTTCATGATCATCAACGGAAATATTTTATGGGGTCAATGGTGATTATATGAAGATGAAGATGATGATGATGACTTTTTATGATGATGATGAACGGACAGTGATAATGACGATGTACTGATAATGATGACAATGGACTGATGATGATGGTGAATTTTATTATATATAGGGAAAACAAAGAATTTTATGAAAACAGTTTTAACATTATTCTTGCCCTTTTTCTTGACATTGACCAGTAATAATAATCTATGTGATGTGTTTAAGCGTCTTTGTTTAAGTGAGCAATATCCTTGGATAATTGACTAATTGTTATGTCGTTGCGTTGTCGATATACGTGTCAATATAGGTGTAAGATACATTTTTTTAATTTTTTTTATCTATTTCTAGTATACAAAACATATAACACGAACATTCCTCCCTCGATTGTGCTACAACTTGTACCCAACTCATCAACCTGAAATTATAATATATATATCTAATAAATTCGGGAAAAATAAATTTCATTTCAGTTTCAGAATTATTCATTATTATTATGTACTTTACTAGGGATGATCCAGAAATACACATATTTTGTTAATACCTTTGTAAATGTAAGAGGTGCTCTTTCTTAAATAACTTTATTATACTGTGTAAAGTTTGTAATGTTTCATCCATTTAAAATATGATTCATTTATTGTGGTCCAGTACCGTTTCAGTACGTCTCAAATAAGCTTGGTTATGCCACAGTGGTCAGATAACGCGACGTATGTTGTTAAGTATAATACATCAAATGATATAATTTGAAAAACTTCGCATGAACATCATTTTATTAACAATCAAGTACAAATACTAAAGGTTATTTTAACGTTGGATTCTTGTGTTAAAACAAGTTTCAACGGTTTGAAGTTAGAACGTCCAAAATTTGTAGAAGTCGTCACCAAAGGGTCCAGAAAGTAGTGCTGTCAATTTAGAAAATTCTCCTTCAGAGCAATTGGATTTTATATATGAAACTACACACATTACAGTATCAACTTAGTCAGACAAACTTTTGTGAGTGACCCATACTTTTTCAGACAGTTGTAACAACCTTGATACAGATTATTGCGGGCCACGATAGAACAAAATGTTGGAAATGTTAACAAATACACAGGCACTGTGTGTGGCTTGGTCGAAATTTTAATAGGAAATCTCAATATTTGCGGAACTCTAACAAAATACTTCCACATGTATAGAACTATTTTAATTGTACATTTCAAAAGTCTTTTGACATTGATATGTAATAAGTATCATTGAATACATGGCTTAATGCCGAGTATTTCTTGATCACCCTATGTATATGAGTAAAGATATAAAGATTTTTAAAAAAAAGATTGTATGTAAACTGTGGAGAAATAGAAACTTAACTACTAAAGAAGATCAAAAGAAAATAGCAAAATATAAAAACTTCATATACATGTATACTTATGATCAAATCTCAATTAATTCAATGAGCAGTTTTCTTGTTAAAGCCAATAAACGAGTGTGCGACAGATATATCGTATATATGATAATAAAAAAAACATTCTGATTAGAGGAGATCCCTGGAGAAAAAAAAAACACAACAAGAAAAGAAGTTAAATTTGTGAACTAGGTACGATTAGGTCTCTTCATGGAAGATGAAAACAGATACAATCTCCCTTATGCTCCTTAACACCGGTTTAGATAGTATTCATCTTTGAAATAATTTGTTCCGATGGACCAACAAAGAATACAACAACACCGAGATGAATAACGGTGCAACTTTTGCAACGTAGATTTCCGAATGTGTGTCTGAACACATGCAAAAAAAGACAATTGACAGAACAAATGACTAATTTTTAGTCATTGCTGAATACATACCAACAAATATTTCTCCGTTATTTGATGCGTCAGATGTACAATTCCAGTTGCAGAAGTCTTTATCACAGCATGAACGACAGAGGGGAATTGACCTTTTGTGATACGATAATGCACTACACTGCAAAATATTTTTAAAAATGTGCTTTTATGTTTAAAGAAAAATAAATAACTTTTTACTTGAAATTCATATGTCTATAAATTGTAACATTCTTTTCAACATGTGCGGGTTCTTATTTACTGCAAGGATGTTGTTTGGGAGTGTGTGAAATCGTTTTACAATAAGTAATGTGAGTTCTCACCACTTGGTGGACACAGCCTTGTTTGAAGTGGAAATCATCTCCCCATTGGAATTTTTCTATCAAACAAACCTTCAATAGAAAATATGAAAACGTAGATCAACAAGGAAGGGCGGTAGTCAATGACTGCATCCTGCAATATAACTCTTCTACAAAAGATTACCGTCAAGGAGCTGTTACTCATAGCATAGAAGGTATTGTAGGTTTGTAATGCAAGTTGTAAGAATTCAATTGTTCATCAAGGAAATAATTCACAAAATACTTATACAGATTGTTTTGCTTGTTTCTTTCTTTTCTGTTTGTGTTTGTTTGTGTTTTGTTGTTGTTTTTTTTTAATTTTGTTTTACTTGGAAGAAAATAATTTATTGTTATTATTAAAAGTAACGGGTGGATCGAACTTGCATGCTTGCCCTGGACCACTGATGAAATTAAATTACTGTTAAAAGGCGAATAATGAAGATACAGTTGATACAATTTAACCTTTGTCTACATAATAACGGTCTCTTGTGATAGCTTTGTATAGAATCAAACTATTTGCGTAGGGAAATACTATGTTACCTGGTCACGTGAGCACAACGTGACAGAATCACAATGTACAGGGCCACCAGAATGATGACAATCTAAACACATAGGTCCACGATGTTCACGTGTTGGAAAATCTGGAAAATATGGACAAGAAAAAATCATTTCTTGTAATATGTTATAATATGTTGGATGTACATTTTATAAATGGTTTAAACTGCTCTTGAATTATTTATTATGTAAATTTTGTTTCATACTAAAATAAGAAAATCGTCATGCTCTAGCATCTGAAGAAAATATCCACTTATGTATATATTTGATTTCATTTTAACCATAGTCGTAGAAATAATTATGTAGGTCTTAATTTTTCAGACATTTGTTATGTACTTTTAATATTTTCTGACTTATACACTGACAATTATGATAATTCAATGTCTTTATCTTATTTCCAAAACTTTAAGCTTAAAACGAAGAAAATAATTTCTAATAGATTTAAGCATATAATAGATATAGATAATAGATCAGGCATTACTACAATGTAGACAGAAATCTTAGCACCGAGGATAAAATACCGTTATTGCCACATCCTATGTTATTGCACGTATGTCCATTGCAGCATTGTACACATACTGAACTAGAATTACTTGTCTGAAGCATGTTACACCTCTGTAAATGCAATCAAAATATGCAATCATAATATGTTTTGATGTAGTACTTAACCAACTTACTTACTTACTTACTTACTTACCTACCTACCTACCTACCTCACTCACTCACTCACGAACTCACCAACTCACACACTCACTCACTTACTTACTTACTTACTTACTTTAGTTGACTTTATAATAGCACATGAATATCGTCAAAACTATAGTTAATTCACTGATCACAAGTGTCATGTTGTTGGTTGCAAAGACCTTTTCAAACCATTAGTTCCATAAACATGTCACCTCTAAACTAATTTCTGATTGGTTTTTTGTCAGAGATTGTCCTCCATTCACTTTATACACACACTAACCCTATCATTGTTTTTACCAAGAATTTGCCCTAGTTTACTGTGGACATATCTCTCATTATCTCACATATTCTCACTTATTCCCGTTTACTCTAGACATACCTCGCTTTGACGTTTTACTATAAGCGTGGCAGTTGACACCGTTTAGGCTTGATGTATCTACAACAATTAATCTTTAGCATTTAATTATGGTCATTTTTACCAGACTTATCTTTCATTGATATTAATAAGAGCGACACAGTAATCCTCGTTTACACTGGATGTGTTAAAATTGTTTTTAATCACAGCTCGTCATCTATTGCGAATTACTCTGCACTTTTAAGTCTAATTTTCTTTTCTAGCTTAAAACACCTTAGTTCCGATATCGTACAACAAACTGCCTGCTTTTAAGTTCGTTTATGCTGTAAATATTTGTGCAAAGGCCCTACAACATGCTTTTGATTTACCTGTTCTTCCATGCAACCAGAGCGAAATATTTTCCCATGTCTGACAATGTGTGACTCGAGAAAACATTTCTGAAACCATAACATATTTATTTTACCAGTATTTGTCATTCTAAATTACGATAAAATGGACAAAGCTAGGTAAAGATGTCTTAATTATAGTCTGCAAAATTAATGTCAATAAATTTATAATATTTCATTTTAACTTACTTATATTTAATGAGCATTGTTAAATTTTATATAATTTTATTGTAACCCAATGTAGATAAAAACGTAATATTTCTCTTTGATTTTGAACAATAAATATATAGCAAATTAAGAATAAAGAAAAGTAATTTGACATTTATATCTTATTTTCGTATTCACCTCTCCATGTCTGCAGTGGACCAGAGAATCACAGTACTGCGGACTGGACATGTCATCACACTTAAAACACACACTGCCTAAATAAAATCATATTTTTCGTCGCTTTCAACTTGACCATTTTACAAATAAAAGGCACATCTATACACATTGATACACATTAATCAAATTTATACTTGGCCTTTGCAACTACATGTAATTACTTAATCAGTTTACGTTATATAGAGTTATAGTTTGTTTCTGTGTAATTATGTGTTATATAATGGTGTTATAGTGGAAGTAAGAAATGTTAATTAATGTAAATTACGATTTGTCTTTTATTAGATATTAATTTTTCAGTTTGATACAGTAATGATTCCAAATATTCATGTACAGCCGTGAACGATTTGTCATTTGTACATTTTACGCTACAAATCTGTAGCCAAAAGAAAAGTAAAGCAATAAGAGCTATGCACCACAATTATGTATTTAAAATTGCAACATATATAAACACTGCTTACCTCCACCTAAAATTGGACCTTTGTACTCTATGCCGTAACCATTGCTACAGTTTCCGGTTGCCTTATCACATGTTCCATCCAGACAACTATCACTGCACTGTTGTCCACACTTGTGACCATACCATCCAGACTGACATGCATTTAGACATGTACCATCGCTTCGATTACAGACTCTATCAAAACAATGTTCACTACACTGTTTATCACACATTTTCCCGTACCAACCGTCTATGCATCCAATATCGCATATGCCGTTTTCATCACACGTGCCGTTTACACATTTAGTAGTGCATACACGTGTACACATATCATCATAATATTGACCAATTAGACATCCTCCAATGCAGGATCCAGTCAGTTGATAGCAAGTCCCGTTTAAACAATTAATTGAGCAACTGTATTGGCACTGTGTTCCCCAATATGCATTGTTTTTACAACCATGAAGACAAGTTCCGTTTATTTTATCACAAATTGCAACACTGACATCTGTCGGTGCATTGCAGTTAGCGTTGCAAAGATTAGAACATTTCTCTCCCCAGTGGGTAGTAGTACAGCCGTTCGTACAGCTACAGGATTGGTTACATTGCTGCAGTGAGCATCCATCTTGGCACTGTATTTGACATTTAGGCCCGCAGTAACTTGGAAACCTACAGTCGGAACACTCTCCTGGGAATGAATCAGTTTTATTTTTTATTTTTTGTAAATTGAGAAAACAAAATGTAATACATATATTTTGTAAGCGTATGTCTATTAATTTTCAAATTTGATATAGATCTTTAAAAATGATATTTCCAACAATAATCCTATTAATACATATTTGTAAATTATTACAAGTTTTGCTAGTTTGACAGAGCCCCATGATTATATTCTACCATACCTACCAACAGGTGATGTTGTTTCCAATAGGGTTCCGAACACAAACACGGCAACATGTTGAAAGGACACAAGGACTTGAGATACGAAACATATTTTCTGACATCAATAATACATGGCAAATTAAAGGTAAGAATTGTTACATTGTTCTTTGGTTCGATTTACAAACAACTATTATTATGTGGTGTATAAAGAAAAAATAAACAAAATTAATGTTTCTGTCTAGTGTAATAAAAATTATACCTGTAGATCTGTCACAGCGGTCTTTACAGGTTGAGCTGCATCTGTTTCCACACATAAAGCCATATCTACCAGGTTTACATCCAGAGTTACAATATCCGTCACTTTCACGGCAAGTTGCAGTCGGAATAGAACTGTTCATTAAACACCAGTAGTTGCAACTCAAACACTTCCCACCGCTCCTATAGAAATTCATTGGGCATTCTTTACATACCACTCCGCTGAATGAATGAAAAGTCAAAAAAAAAACTATTAGCGTCAAACAAAAACCGGTTGGTTAAAAACATGTTGTTCTTCAAAGACACTTCAATATATACTTGATTTTTATTGACAGAAAAACAGATCGTGTCTAAATGAGTTTGTTAGACAATATGTCATCTTACCATAATAGGACAAAGCAAATAAGACAAAAACAATGACTTGTAAATAACATATGACCTTGACGTTTAACTGTAACGTTTAATGCTAATGCTCATCTTATTCTCTATAAAAAAGAATCGTATATACGTGGTAGATATTTCACGCTTAATATAAATCATGGACATACACAATACAGGCATTATTTGAATAAGATAATATTAAACAACCAAAAGGGTATTATGTTATTTCATTTCTAATGAGTTTTGAGTATTTTAACATTACAACGCCCTATTTTTTTTTCAAGACTTCTAAACTTTTTTCATTTAAACAGGTATCAATTTCATACAAGTGACCTCACGTTTACTATCGTAAAGATGTTGCTTCTAATATATATTCGTAAATAACCAAACACTTTCAAAGTTAAAAAACAGTTTATCGTTGTTTTTTGTAAATAGTTTTTAATTAAGGTATATACAGTTAAAAGGATATTATGTAAATAGATTAAATGTACAAGCAGAGAAGTGTGTGGTCTAGGGTAATTAACTAAATAATTTAACTACAATCACAATGACATTATTAACTATGACATTGAAACTGAAAATACATGAAATAGTTAGTAGTAAGAACATGTTTACTAAAATGGTATATGCACAAACTCTAGGTTTATATTAAACCATCTACTCAAATAGAAAAAGACAGTCTGAAGTGATTATTAGTGTAACATATATAATACATTTACGTAAAATCATTGAATGCATTGACTTTGCTGTTCTTAACAATAGTCCTTTATATAAAAGACGATATAAGATGTTATAGTAGTTACTTGGTATTGGGGTCAATACGACACGATTTGCAATTTACATCGTTTTCTGAACATCGCATGGTACAATGTGGTTCCGCATATCCGTCAGCACAGCCGAAGGTACATTCCCCAGTTGTTTTGTTGCATACGACATGGTCAGAAATGTTCTTTATACAATGTGCAGAACATTGAATACCGTCTTCAGTTTTGTCTACTCTCACAAGGTTACACTCTAAAATAGGCACAAAATACGTAGGTTAGTAGGTAGTTTGTTTGCAATTTGTTGGCCCTTAGCAAGTATGTGTTTTATGTCGTGGCAACTTTTCTTAACCTTCAGTGTGATGTCGCTACCCGCAGGCGACGTTGAATTATGTACAACATTTGTCTTTTTTATAATAGATAACCTTTATTTACTTCCCTTAATCTAATATCGGTAAATGGACTATGCAGATTAATGATTATGTGTTAAAGTGTGTTTTTCTGACTTAGATAATTATATACATTGTATGAGCAAAAAATGGCTGTTTTACTACCCTGTAACATGTATTGTTGAGGTTAAAAAGTAAGGGTCAAGTTGAGTGTTATCCTGTCCTTACCAATGCGCATGAGTGCGTGCGAGCGTGTGTGTGAGTGCGTGCGCGTATGTGTGTATGCGCTTTGTTGTTGTTATTGTTTGTTTGTCTGTTTTGTTTTTGTTTCTTTGCTTGTTTCTCTATTGATTCTTTTGCAGTGCTTACATATGTATTACCCGGATAGAAGCATATAAAGAGAAATGCTAACTTTGATATTAATGAAATATCATATCATTGCATACGAGCAGTCTTTCGAGAATTAAAGTTGTCCACGTATTTTAACTGAATATTCGAAGTTGTTTATAAGTATATGTTTTATTTACTCTTTTTTATATCATTATGAATGCTTTAGAGAGTCAGACATTCTAAAATACATGTTTTAACAATAATAGGCATTTGTGCATGGCTGTGTCTAATTTTAAGAAAGCAATTCAAAGTTATTAAGTTACATAATCAACATTCCCCTTTAGGGGAAAACAGTAAAAAAATAACTATAAAAATGAAAGTAAAGATATTTCATATAAATGATACAACCAGAGAGAATATAAAATTGATTCAAGATCTTACCGATATATGAAATGAATGCCATGGCAAATAGATATAATGCAAATTTGCTCAACTGTAACTTGTTATGCATCTCTTTTCTCAACTCTTGTAGATTATACAACAAAAAGTTCAATGTCTTTTTTCACATGAAATATATAAATTTATGACTTAGTATATTTAACCTTCAACTAAGTACATTCAACATATCGTTATCATTTAACTCATTCACATTGCATCAGTTATCAACATGAGCAGTATAAAGATAATTCAGCGTTATCGAGTTTTCATAAGTACCTTGGGTGTAAAGTCAACGATTAAACATCGGGTTTGTTTCTTTATTTTCTAATTATCTAGCATATAATTAATTAACGACAAGTCCAAATTATATATAAATATGATACTGATTTTTCGTCATTTTGTCAAATGTATCAAGTTAAATTCAATTAAGAGCATATAAAAATCATATGCTAAAATTTAGGCAACGATGAGCTAAAATTTTCAAATAGAATAATATCAAATGTAAAGAGTAGCTTTATAACTAATCTGTTCTAATTTGTCAAACGATAGTTATGGATACTTATTTTGTGAAAGATGGACATAGTCTCTTAGGTTCTCTTAGATTTTAATATATAAGAGTTCTGGACCATGGAAAATAGTTTTATTACAAAGGGAAATATAATCATTTTGTTTAGTTATTTTACATATAAAAAGAACATATCATTTAAGATATAAAGTTGTCACATAATACAGTTTTGTTTAAAAATTATAATGTTAAATCATGCGCGCATAGAAACATAATTTTAAAGTCGCACTTGAAATACACCAAACCATACCAAACATGACATGACCGTTTCGAATTCGAAATAAACGCCGGTTTCTCTCTATTATTTAAGTATGTGTTGAATGCTTAAACAAACTTGAACTCAATGTGCACAGTTGCAAGAAAAAGCTTCTGCTCTACAGAATGATTGGCATAAATTAAAAACGTTACATTCTTGTTAGATATATAATACACAAATATTATAATATTCGGAATAAATTTATCATAGTTATCAGGAAAAAGTCACCTCGGTATAAAATATATTAGTTGACTGTAGTATGCATTATGCAGGACACGAGAAGTTCTCTATAGCTATACAATGTTGTCAATAACTCATTTTATACTAAAAAGAAAATTCTGACTATAGATTAATCAATACACCATGGAATGCAACAACATTATAGCTTTACCTGTATTTTTTATCTGTATGCATGTCATATCCCATATAGCCTCGTTTCCATTTTCAGAGTCGAAAATATCTTTCGTACTCCATCCAGCCTCGTTTTCATTTTCATAAATTTCTTTCAAATCCTTATTGTACTTAAAGCAACAAAGGTCATCCAAAAGAATATCATAAAATGATGGTGTGAAAAAATGAAGTCTACACTGTCAAATCTATTTCAGACTCGGCTTGTGTCTCGTACAATATAGCCGTGTACTCATTCAATAGAATCAGTATAATCTCATAATATAACGACTTTTATGATGTAGTTCTTTAAGGTCGCACTGTAATATGCATAATTATTTACGTAGCAATTAGTTATTGCTTTCGTCTCTCTGGACAACAAAAGGATTTATGCTAGTATGATTTATTGCAGGAAATCGCAACGACAATCAGTTTCAAGAATGTGAAGGGCCAACGTTCAAATTGTCTTTCTCTTACGTAGACTATGCTCTTCTTGGTTACAATATTCTTTGAGGATATCCACTTGCAACTGGTCATGACCCCGGCTTCACTTATCCAATATTTCGGGCAGATTATTCATCGGGGGTCAAACAGCTGACTGCAGATATAGTGTCCCAGATGGTCTTGTTATTGTTCCAGACGTGTCATGCATCTTTCTCCTCAACGACTGCTAGAAACAGGTTCGAGTTTGCAAAGGCCCTATCGGAGTCTGCCCATGTCGAGGGAGGTGGTTGGGGTGTGAAGTTTTCTGCAAGCGCTGGGTACAAACGGTCGTCTTCAGAAATTTCAAAAGGAGAAAGTGTTTACACATAATTTCATCCGGAAAATGTCAATATTATTTCAGCAAGATTATTTTCAGTGCAGCTCCTCGTTTCGATGAAGTATTTATCCAGTGGATACATAAGCTGAATAACACAAACATCGACGAAACTTATTTTGAATTTATTGATACCTATGGTACACATTTTCCAACAGAGGTAACATTTGGCGCTAGTTTTACTTATGAACATAAGATGTCAGCCCAAGAGTTTCAAAAACAAACGGAAAAGGGTGTAAATGTTGCTGCGGATGCCAGTTATTCCGGTCTCGTTAATATAGATGGCGGGTTTAATCTTGATAATTCCCAAAGGCAGTCTGCAGCTGAATTTTCAAAATATGTTGAAACAAAAACAATTACCATAGGCGCAGCTCCACCGTCAAATGGGGGTGCCTTGACCTGGGCTTCAGTCTTTAAAACAAGTCCTGTCCCCACGTCTTTCAAGCTTGCACCGATTGAGTCCCTACCCTATTCAAGAACAGTTTCATGAAATCGCTGAATATAGATCATGTTAGAATTCAGCATAAAATCTCAAATCTAAAACATAGGTATTGCACATCACTTCAGGTTACAGGTCAAGTTGAATCATGTAGTCGGTTGGCTCCCGGCATAACACTAGAGAACACTAAATTAGTAGTATATGCGGCAACGAAACAATCAGTACCGTCAATTTCAGAATGCTTAGAAGCGTGCGTGGAAAAAAAATTAAGTGTGTTGCCATTTCATTCTGCGTGTCATGTTCTGATGATGACAGCGACCACAAACAATGTTATATGTTCAATGAAAAAACATCAACAAAATAGAACGTGTTCTTATTTGGTCCCAAGAAATTATCTTCATGGATGTCACATACTTTCACATTAAAATGATTCAAGTAGGTAGTGTGTCTACATTAATTATGCAAGACAAGAGAATATGATACTTGCATTCAAGTCTTGAGTGTGGGTAGATGCTCCCTAAACAGTTTTGAATAATTATGAGAATAAAACTATGAAACCTGATAGTGACATAACTAACTGAATGATCCTTGTTGACAATGTGAAAACTGTTAAGATATAATCTATACGTGCTCGTGCTCTCGTACACCGTCTTAACAAAATTAATTTAACTGAAAAACACTGATAAACAGTTAAACTTTATCCTTGTTTACAAGGAAAATTGCATGCTTATGTTGAAATATTAACCTCTTTCTTCTTAGAAGTAACTATTTAAAGCTAAAGGAATGCTAATATATATGCTGCAGTATAATGTATTCAGTAAGTCACGAGTAACCGTTGGACATTAATTTCTAGAACATCTTGTATTTCTTTTCGTGAACTTAAACATTGTTTTAAAACGTATATATTCACACAGGATTCATTTGGAATATAGAAATGGAGCCCATGGAAATGGAAGATTTTAACAGGCCTGGAAAGAAAACGTGTAACAAACAGGTATTACATCATTCCAGACGTTCAATCTAATCCAATCGTTACAATGAACAAAAGAAGAAGTTAATGTTACATCAAAGCAAAATATGCAGACTTAAGCTTAGCCATGTGTCTACGCGTATTATGTACGTTTTCGGGAGTTTTCATTTAGACATATAGGCAAAATTAAAACTGTTCATTAGAATTTCTTTAAACGATTTATTTCTAGAAATGATCATGTAAAATATAGATACAAAAAGATACAGTCCAATGTACATTGCAATACTCGATGCCTTGAAGGAGTGCAGAAAAAAAAAGAAAATCACCTACATAGTTTGTGGTTTTACCGCAATAGTTTTTCCACCAGCAGTTCATTTAGATATTGGGGAAGTCGACAAATGGCCTACAGTAAATGTGACAGTTGTGGCTAAATCTGTCCCGAAATATATTATATTAAAGATCCTGTAACACATTTTTTATGGTTTTATAAAAACAAATATGATGTTCAAATTAAGATTTGTCAATATTGTTAGTTTCAAAAATCATTATTTATAAAGATATTACCCAATTTAATATTTCACGTAAATAAAGGGAGGTAATTAGAATTTGTTTTCTATAAATTCTTAGTCAAAATTTCCAATAAGTAATGAATGCATATAATTTAATGTTTACAAATATTTGCAGTACATATTTTACATATTCTTCGATGTTTGAAAATTTTTGTATTAGCATATAAATTATATACATATATAATTTCACGTAAGAAAAGTATACAACCTCAATAACAAAACATACAGGATCTTTAACTTTTCATTCATCATTTTATAGGTTCTCCTGAAATACGGTGTGTTATGTATTGCTGTGGCAGCTATAGTTGTTACTGTAGCAATAGTAGAAGCACAACGGTCCAAGTAAGAATACGTGTTATTTGTTACTTCAATTAGGTTTTTGATACGCATTGTCCCCCATTACGTTGTTTGAAATGACGTCATAAAATGACGTGATGTCGCGATGTTTATTAACGCGTACGCTTACACGGAAAAAGTTACGTGCCAAGTCTTATGGCTTCCTGTTTTTGGGGTTTCTTTCCAAACTTTTATTTGAACAGGTTGAAGCAAACCGAGTGCATTTGGCCGTTTGGGGGTGTTGGCATTCTTAAGGGATTCTGTTTTGTTTTGTTTTTCATGGGGAAAAAAACAAATAATTAACCAGCGGACCAATACCTTAACGACTAGCCATCCTCATCAACCTGTCATTAACACCATTAATAATCAACTGCTTCGTTTTAATTAAGAGAATTATCTGTCGATCGCTATTATACACATTGCATTTAAACAAATCATTGTAGAAAAAAGTACAAGAAGTACGAGTCTTCTGGTTTAATACAACTAGCAACTTATTCAAAGAATGTATATCTAAAGACCTTTAATGGAGGCGACCAACTTTACAGGGCAGGAACCAGATACAGCCAATTATCATAAATCCACCCCAAGTGAAGACTACGAGAACACCTGATCGAATTAAAAAGCTTTCCATATGATAACCAAAACTTTCACACGACTAGATAACTGATAGAGCAAATAATGACTACTGTAGCAAAGAGTTATTTTTATCAATGAAATACTTAATAGAAGCGATCATCTGACTGGTTAGTACAAGCGACTCAACAGACAGGCATCACTATCCAATAAGCAAATTAAGCGGACTTTTTATAATGGTTTGCAATGTTTTGAATTTTGGAAGAGTCTACTTAAAAAATAAGGGATTTCAATTTCAAAATACATAAGTTGAGCCCATAAAATAATCACTTTCGTTTCACTTCCGGTTCTAGCATGTTAAGAAATAATTCACACTTCCATCATTTTGCATCGTTTTATCGTACGTTTGTCTGCATTTATATAAGGTGACTTTTGAAAGCCTATTACAAAGTGAAACCATTTAAATCTAATGATAAAAAAGTTGAACCATTGCTTTAAAGTGGATTGTTTTGCAATTGGCACAGTTTCCAGAAATATTTAAAATATCGTTAAAACAGTGGAAATATATCATTTGGATACTCTAATAAAACAGTTCTTAAACAATGTTCATAAAAGTTCTAAGTGATTTCGTACGAACAATTATACTCTCGATAACAATAGTTTGTTCTAGAACAATTTATTATCTGTTTTGCATAGAAAATGTCATATAGGACTTACCACAATGTCTTATATTCTTACATTGTTATCCTGTATGATGATACTTAATAGTAAATACCTGGTTATCTATGGCATTAAAGACCTTCCATTGGACCAGTTCATGCACCCCAATATTTTCATGTTTTTGATGGGTGTGTTACATGTCTTTTCTAATACTGGCTTAATGTCATATAGTGGCTTACATTTCTTACATCTGTCACTTAGTTATGGTGAATGCTAACATTAGGCGGCATTTAAGAGAAGGTTATGGAGGGTTGTAGGGATTGTGCAGCAGGGGGCCACCATCCGCCAGGTTGGTGCGGCGCTTGGTGTGCACAACACTGTCATCACAAGAGCCTGGGAGAGATACCGGCTACATGGCATGCTGGAGGTCGGCAAAGGGTAAAAACACAAGCTCAGGATCGGTTATTTGGTCGTTAAGGCACGTCGTGCAAGGTTTTCGACAGCAACTTCTCTTAGAAATGGTTTTGCTAATGCTGCGGGGGTGCGTGTTTCCACGCAGACGGTAAATAGAAAGCTGCATGCGGGTAATTTGCGCTCGAGAAGACCTTGCATACGTATCCCCTTGACACGTTGGAATGAACCATGGAGCATACACGGTTGACCATGCAACACTGGAAACACGGTCTGTTCACGTTCTGTCTAGAATTCACAGAAAGGTGTGCTAGAGTCTGGAGAAGACGAGGTAAATGGTTTCAGGCTGCAAATAATGCTGAGTATGACCGCTACGGAGGTTGGTCAGTTATGGGGTGGGAAGGCATCAGCTGGGATGGACGAACCAACCTGGTTGTGCTAAATAGAGGCGAATTGACAGGTCAGCGATACATAGATGACATCTTAGACAACCAGGTTAGGTTGTATGCTGGGGCAGTAGGCGATCGGTTCATTCTAATGGAGGATAATTCTCGCCCCCCATAGGGCCAGGGTGGCCCAGACTACCTAGAGAGAGAGTCTAGTGAGCGCATGGACTGGCCAGCTCGCTCACCTGACTTAGATCCAATAGAACTTATGTGGAATGAGCTGCAGGTTAGAATTTCAGCTCGTCAGCTGCAACCCAGGAGCCGTGTTGGCCCAAGAATGTGCAGCCATCCCGTTCCTAATAGGGAGCATGAGAAGGCGCTGCCAAGCTGTCATTGACAGACACGGGTCAAACACACTGTATTAAGTCAAAAACTGTAAACAAAATAAAACAATTTAACAAATTTGGTAAACACGCTGCAGGTTCTGAAATATTTTAAGAGGGGGTCATCCTCTTCTCTAGCACAAAATCAGTGCATAACTCATTTATACGGTTAAATTCGTCCTTCAGCTGAATTGATAAAACAGTAAATCAACATTTAAAACCTTTTGTAGGGTATTAATAAAATTATCCAAAAGAATGTTCACACTGAAACATATGGTGCTTAGCAGACGTTGATAGAGAGATAGACGACATACAGTTTGACATTTGTTAAGTCATGTGGTAGAGCCACTTTTAATCTTTTTTGCCATGTGTCAATATTTTTCCGTGCGTTTAAAATCATAACCGGTGATTTGAACACAGGTCTGTGACCGTTGCAGAAAATGCAGACTGAAGCGAATGTCAAAAGCGTCATGGTAGACAAAAAGGGAATATAGCAAGGACGGCAATGCTGCCGACAACTTAGAATTGATCTAGAAGTCATCAAGTAATTACATTTATGTTAGAAGTTACGCCTCTCCTTAGCCCGTTCTTTTGTTGTTGATTCTCGGTCTGACCATGAAACAATTTTTTTATACACTTTTTGTCGATTAATATCGTTGATCATTTTAGCACAGGGTTTTCGCAGTTAAACTCGCAGAATGGTAAATATATAGATGTGTTGTCAATCTGCCCGATGATTTTGCAGCGACAAAAAACAGCTCGTGTTAAATATCATGTTTTTGTAATTTATGTACGTTTATTCATTTGTTGTAGTGTGAGACTTTGCCTAAATTATGAGGTGTAAATCATTATGCAACAGTATACGGAGAAATGATGTTCGACTTTCGTTAATTCGATATTGACAAACGTACTCGTTTATGTGATTGGCGAGGTGTTACAAATGCTTCGAAGTAATTTCGTAATCTGGTTCCTTTTCAATTATAGTTCACATATAAAACCCCTGACCATAATAAGACGATGCGAAAGTGAGATATCAGATGTACGCTGGCTCATTTGCATTTATCTTATCGCACTTTCATATAGTCATTTTATACTTTTATATCTTATTATTGTACTGTCATAAAAACGTATCCTCCTCCTTTTATATCGTCTTATCATACTTTTATATCGTACGATAATCATCGTTCGTACTTTCATATCTTCCTATCCTTATTTTGCCAGTCTATTGAACAAAAACTGCGAAACAAAGACGAACTTTTTCCCATTAAAACTGTATTGTGACTTAATTAGTTGGTAATGAAGACATTTGTTCGTTTGGCTTTGCTTTGAGTTGATAGATATGATATCATTTTCAAACATTTTGTTAAAGGGACATGAAGAGTTTAATCGACAAAATTTCAACGGCACCTGAAAAGTCATCTCAAACAGGCACTCTCGGGCTAAGTTCGAACAAACAAGTGCAATATATATTAGAAGGTATGAATAATTGAATAAATATTAAACACTGTATGCACAGCTGCTATCTATTTTAACTTATTGAGAGGGTTTGTCTAGAGTCCTAACAAACACTTGGTCCACATACTAATTTCCTACAGCATGAAATGGAGTTTCATAATACTTACATACACAATAAACATGTATAAAGTGGACATGTTATATGTTTTGTACCATTGATTATTTCATATCTTATAGATTATAACCAATGTGCCTTCAACGTTTGAATAAGGTCATGCTCAAATGGATCCAATCTTATCAATTTCGGCCTTGAGTAAAAAAAACTATTTCAGTGCATATATTATCGCACCCAGTTTAGCCTTGTTTTCATTTTCAGAGTCCAAATATATATACCAAATGCATGTCATATTCCATATAGCCTCGTGTTCATTTTCAGAGCCTACTCCATCTTGCCTCGATTTCATTTCAGTGTCCATAAATTCATTTCAAATTATTTTTGTGCTGAAAGCAACAAAGGTCATTTATCAAAACTTCATAAAATGATGGTGTGAAAAATGAAGTCTCTATTAGACGGGTGCACAACTGTCAAATCTATTTCAGACTCAGCTAGTGGCTCGTGCAATATAGCTGTATACGCCGCAATTTTTTATTGCTTTCGTCTCTCTGGGCAACAAAAGGACTTATGCTAGTATGATTTATTGCAGGAAATCGCCATGACGATCAGTTACAAGAATGTCAAGGGCCAACGTTCAAATTGTCTTTCTCTGACGTAGACTATGCTCTTCTTGGTTACAATATTCTCAGAGGATATCCACTTGCAACTGGTCATGACCCCGGCTTCACTTATCCAATATTTCGGGCAGATTATTCATCGGGGGGTCAAACGGCTGACTGCAGATATAGTGTCCCAGATGGTCTTGTTATTGTACCAGACGTGTCATGCGTTACGTCTTTCTCCTCAACGACTGTTAGAAATAGGTTCGAGTTTGCAAAGGCCCTATCGGCGTCTGCCCATGTCGAGGGAGGTGGTTGGGGTGTGAAGTTTTCTGCGAGCACTGGGTACAAACAGTCGTCTTCAGAAATTTCAAAGGGAGAAAGTGTCTACATAATTTCATCCGCAAAATGTCAATATTATTTCAGCAAGATTATTTTCAGTGCAGCTCCTCGTTTCGATGAAGTATTTATCCAGTGGATGCATAAGCTGAATAACACAAACATCGACGAAACTTATTTTCAATTTATTGATACCTATGGTACACATTTTCCAACAGAGGTAACATTTGGCGCTAGTTTTACTTATGAACATAAGATGTCAGCCAAAGAGTTTCAAAACCAAACGGAAAAGGGTGTAAATGTTGCTGTGGATGCCAGTTATTCCGGTCTCATTAATATAGGTGGTGGATTTAATCTTGATAGTTCCCAAAGGCAGTCTGCATCTGAATTTTCAAAATATGTTGAAACAAAAACAATTACCATAGGCGCAGCTCCACCGTCAAATGGGGATGCCATGACCTGGGCTTCAGTCGTTAAAACAAGTCCTGTCCCCACGTCTTACAAGCTTGCACCAATTGAGTCCCTTTTCACGGACAGGTTCATGAAATCGCTGAATATAGATCATTTAAGAATTCATCACAAAATCTCAAATCTGAAACATAAGTATTGCACATCACTTCAGGTCACAGGTCAAGTTGAATCATGTAGTCAGTTGGCTCCCGGCATAACACTAGAGAACACTAAATTAGAAGTATATGCGGCAACGAATCAATCAGTGGCGTCAATTTCAGAATGCCTAGAAGTGTGCTTGCAAAATATTAAGTGTGTTGCCATTTCATACTGTGTGACATGTTCTGATGGTGACAGCGACCACAAACAATGTTATATGTTCAATGAAAAAACATCAACGAACTACTATTCAGTAAAAACAGACGAAAATACTGATGTTTGGCAAAGTTACGTCTTCGCAGATAAGATCAACCACACATTAGCGTTTGCGAATACGGAAGTAGTTGGGATTCCCCGCGGTTTTGTTAATGATGACGACAAAAAGGCCAATGAAACTGAATGTGAACGCTTGTGTAAAATTGATGCGTTTTGCGTTGCGTATACCTATTGTTATTGCATCGACCAAGTCTCGGATTGCCAGCTTTACAGTGAAGGCCAGATTAGGGGTCTTAATTGGAAATCTGACACCAAAACCGTCTTCATATCCAGTAGGTTTTACGGAACGCCGATGACTTCCACTTTACCGAGTACTACTCCAAGTGGTAAATAAGTAAATGAGTTACCTGTATCATTGGAAAAACTATAAAATATGTAGTTTTGAACATATATGTATATGTCTACTTTTATTCTTAGCTTTATTTCTTTTCTATACTTTCTTATGTCTAAAACATACATTGGCATTTTATATTAGTTTATTAGTGACGCTTAAATGAGGAATCACATGCTTTGTTTATGTATACATACACATAAGTGACATTAAATTTTCTGAATACTTTGAACCAAAAGACAGTGAAATGTTTTACCAAGTTCGGCGTTTATGTACATATATATTCACGTTTTTTTATTCTGTTTTGTTTGTTTGTTTCATTTTACGCCTTTTTCCAACAGTACTTCAGTCATATAGGCGGGTAGTTTCCTAACCATCGTTCCTGGAGAGTTACACCAGTACTAGACTACCTACCTCCGCGCTAAACTACCAAAGCATCTCCCGGGGATCGAACCCACGCCAGAGAAGTAACTGGATTAGAAGTCATCGACTCTAACCCCTCGACCACGGAGGCGGGTTTTTTTTATTCTTATAATCAAGATTAAAATCAAGTATCTAATATTTACGGTTTCGTTATTCTCATAAACATGATTAGAGAAGTAAAGTTTTATCTAATTTTTTTTCTGTTGCTTCAAAAAAAATTTTTTCCGTTTGAGATCCTTCGCTTAACGTCATAAGCATTACTGCTAAAAATTGCAATAAATGCGGTTGTCATCATAAGCAAAAGGCCAGGGGGCAAACTAATCCCAAACTAAAGCATATTGTTTCCTCTGACATCCCGTATATAAAAATTCCGTAAAACACTTGATGAACAGCGCCACACATATATCAATAATGATCACCAGAAAGAAAAAGAGATCTGGCAACGAGATCATTCGATAACAATGACGCAGATTCGGTTTTGTTTGTTTCTGGTTTAAATTACGCCGTTTTCAACATGTATTTGGTAATATCTCGACGGTCGGCCAACCAAACCAAATTTACTAACTAGAAAACTGATCAGCAATTACCAATTTTTCCGCAAACTTCTACTCCAGTATGATTTCCGAGACAACTGATCTTTCAACTCAATGTTTCGGAGAAATTTTAATTTATTGAGTCTGCTCGTGAGAGGTAATGGAAAGTGTAACATCGCTCACGCCCCTAGCACCTATCCCGAAGGACTAGACAATTATGACAATTCTCTGAGATACAGGGCACTTTAACAGCTGCCACACAGCTAAGTGTAGTGACCTAAGGACTCTATTAACATTTATTCTACGATCGCTAGCGTGAAATATTGGCTTGCCTACATAGCATCAGTGAAACGCAAGTACACTCTACATGTATATTGTTATCTGCATTTCGAATTAAAAACCTTTTAAAATCATTAAATAAATTAATTTTTGGGTTTTTAACCCCTAAAATAATTTTCCCCAAAAAAAAGATTTATCTATATTTTAAGTTCCAAAAAGCATTATTTGTAAAGATATTTACAATAGTTTACAATGATATTAAAAAGAATTAGCAAAAATTATTCTTAAATTGACTAACTGCGGAATTAAGAATATTTGGGTTTACTTCCCAGCTAATCCGTAGGTGCAAACAAGCTTTTACTGTTACATCTTTCCTGACTAAACTATCACAGACCTTGTTTTTTTTTTTCAGGGCTTCCAGGTCCACAAATGTTGGAACCCCAAAAAAAAATTTTATTAATAATCGAAATCACAATCGTTAACATAACTATGCAAATACACATCATACAATAAATCATTTAACATTTTTTTTTTAAAAAAGGAGACATAAGATTTACACATTACATTTATAGTATAAATTTTGAAATTGATGAGATAATATAAAAAGAACATTAGAAGAAAACAATGGTTTATAATTGCATTATATAATAATTATGAACAGATGGTTTTTGAGATAATTTTACTTTCATTTATATACAGTTTTTTTTTTCATCCTGTCCTCCAAAGTGTCCTCAGCAAGATAACCTAAACGAAAAGTGTCTACGAAAAACAAATTAGGTCTTCTCGTGGATAGTTATTGAAGAAAGAGTAGAAAAATATTATATAAAAGTATTATGTTATGTGTAGTTCACTTATATGGTAGGTATACTTATAAACACTGTGGACAAGGATTATCTCGATTAAAATAAACCACATTTCATGTCTCCTAACGAGATAGTTGATCAAAATACTACTCTCATCACAGGATCTTTATATGTAATTATTGGAGTACATTAAATTTGTGTATAAATGCAAAAAAAGAAAATCTTGTAAAAGAAAGAAAATGACAATAATTCCATATACATTAGCATTGCTATGCTTCTAAAAAGTCATGTCTCATAAAGAAGGATAACTACCATAAATTTCCTAACATACGTTAACTTATTTATTTCCCTTTATTTATAATCTTCGAAAAAAGGTAGTTTTTCAAATAAAACATAAGAAGATTCAAATAATATAAAATCAGCCGGAACTGATAGTCTCTGTCCACTCTATCACAGACCTTGTGCTCAGTAAATAAAAGATATTTTTCTTAAAACTCGTGATCCAAACTAATTGCTTGATATTGTTCTGTGAAATGAAGTGGTATTCGTAGCCCACTTACCACCTTACCTTGGAAGTAGGGCGCGACACGCCATTTTGATGTGGTAGACATTTATGCCAAGTTAACTTAAAATCCTTCAATACATTACAAAGTTCTAGTACGAGTACGAATGTACACCTTCAAACTCTTCTTGTGAGTACGAGTACTGACCTTGGAAGTAGGGACATAGTTCTTGGGCGCGACACATCATCTTGATGTGGTAGACATATATGCTACGTTACTTAAAAAACCTTCAATGCGAGACATGGTTACAGTCCAGACACGCATGTGTGAACCTTAAAAATCTGCTTGTGAGAATGTGAAACCTTCACACTGTCAATACATGACAAAGTTATAGTCCGGACACGAATGTATGAGTACCTTCAAACAATTAGTGATCTCGACCTTGGAGGTAGGGACATGGGTATTAGACGTCACCACGATGTGTTCGACATTTGTGCCAAGTTATTTTAAAAACACTCCATGCAAGACATGGTTACAGTCCTAACACTAATTTCTTACATTGAACCTTCACCTTTTAGGTAGTGTTATGGGCCTTGAACGCAACACATCGTCTTGATGTAGTCGACATTTGTGCAGTTATTTTAAAATCAGTAACAGTTCGGACCTTCAATTCTTCTTGTTAGAATGAGTACCTTCGAATTATAAATTTGACCTTCTCCTTAAAGGTAGGGTCTTGGACGCAACATATCGACTGGATGTGTTAGATAATATATGCTACATTATTTTTAAAAATCCATCCTTGCATGACAAAGGTACAGTCCGGATATATTTGTGTGTACCTCTAATTGTGAGAATGTGAACCTTCACTCTGTGTGACCTTGACCTTTGACGTGGAGACATTGGTATCAAACCCCAACACATCACCATGATGTTGCAGACATTTATGCAGTTACTTTAAAATCCTTCAATCCTTCAGTTACAGTCCAGACACAAACTAATAATTATAAGAACACCAAAGTTGACTTCTAAAAATTTATTTTAAATCATACATGTGTATTAACCAATACAAAATAATATACAGGTTACCACTGTTTTGACATATATATTTATGATGTTTTTGTACATGTATTGTTCGGAAATATGTTACCATAATCTGTGTTGAATACATTACTGACTACTATTACTACACAATTATAAAGTGTGATAAAAATACAGCCTAACACATTCTGGTACATCAGTGACATTACCACCAAATACATACACGATTACAATCACAATCTAAAATTAGACATGACCTAATTATCTAAAATAGACATCAATCAGTGAAAAGAAAAACAGATACTAAGTACAAAAACAAATAGAATCTGGTAGACGATGCCAAGAACTTAAAGTAATGAATGCACACACAGTCTAAAATACAATATCATATGACTGGTAGATTGTTATTGAACCAATGGAAAAAGTCAAAAGTCTAGACTGGTTTAGAAACTATTACTTTCATTATCTATATTTTCACCAACCAAGTGTGGAAACAGTCTCAATGTTGACTAGGGGGTCATGTAAATAATGTACAAGAATACATTAAGCTGGTGATTCTTTTCATTTCATTGCAAGTGAGGTAGTCAAATAGAATCATGGGCAGATTGATTCTTACTGAACTGAAAAAAGCTGTTATTACTTCAAAATCATAACCAACCAAAAAAATATCACAAATCACAAAGTCGACCCTTATTATTGCTATATGTGTGTTTTAAGCAAGTAAAACTAAACTGTGACAAAACATAACTTAAGATTTAATCTTTTTTATTTCATTTTAACAAGATTTTAAAACTTGATCAATCTGCGCCTTGGTTCTATTTTCCTTTGTGTTGGAATGTTCTGGGAAAAAAATGTACAAGAATGACCAAAGAATGTGTTCAGAAATAAAAACATGTTAACAACAATATTTCTAATGACCAGAAGCAGGGTGCTATATCGCTCTTGTGTAATATCTTTGAACATTAAAAAAACAACATTTATCTGTTTCCAGACTATATATTCTAAATCTACATATAACTTGGTTGAAAAGCAGTCAAGTAAGATCAATCCAACAAAAGTATTTTAAAAATACAGATTATAAATGAGAGTAAAATACAGTATGATAAAACAATAAAATCAGTGGAACAGAAAAAATGCACCAGAATTCCTTTGAGGACTAAAAAGACTATTCACTGACAATATAAGCTTTTATTATATTAATTTGTGTACCTTTATTTATTAAATATAAAGCTATGGCTTAACAAATCATTGTTTCCTGTTGTTTTTTGTTTTTTCTAAATTTTTATTCTAAAATGGTTTCTATATCTGTTATAACAAAGAAGTCATTTCATTTGTAAATTTACAAAAACTACAAACAAGTATGAAATGTTAAGTAATTTATGCCCTTTGTCAAATTGCAAGGTCAATGGAAACCATTTACAAGCCCTTATACAATTGGTCATAATAATATGTATCTAAATCTAACAGTTTTCAACAGATCTATTCTAGAGGTAACATTTAAACTGTACAAATCAAGAGACAAACATAAGAGAGCTAGAAAAAATTTGAGCGATGAGAAAAAAAAAATATATGGAAATATATTAACAAGTTTCACAATGGTTGAAAATAACAAATTTTATCAAAACAAGCTTTGTGTAATGATCCCATACTATGCCAAGTCACATAACATGAAAAATATCACAGGATTTCAGACTGTAAGAGAACGACTTGATGAAATTGGAATATTTCAAACTTTTCGACTCTACTTAAACACTGTTTGTCTGGTAGTATCTCTGTACAGTTTGAAATCCTGTAACGTAAACTGTCATAATGATATAAAATCAAGTATCACAGTCTTCATAACCTTCTTGGTTCTTGGCTTCAAACTCTTAAGGGGCAAATAACTCTTGACACAAAAGATGAAAAATTGCAAAATAAAATCATCAAAGATTCTCTCCCCTTACAACAATCTCAATCAGGACGGCTCCCATGTATGTCCCTGACCAGAATGCGATCTTCTGTAAGGGAATGATGCCTAGAAGAAACATTTGGCCAGCAAATACAGGGTATGAGATTCGATATGTTCAATCAGCTGTGGACAGCTTCTTTCACTCGTTCAAACGTCTTAAACAGATTGAGTACTGACAAAAATTGTGTAAACAGTGAACTTTGTTTAGTGTACAACGATGTTTAAAGCACACATTTTATGCCCGATACACAAAAGATGGTACATGAGTAATCAGACACTATTATTCTGACATGTAATGATGTAAAACACATGTCATTACCAAGATTTTGCTGGTGTTACTACAAAACCTTATGGACTCACAATAGCTGCTGTTCTTACTGCAGATTAAACCAACAGAGTTGGTGGTTATGACACAGACACATGGACTCACAGATATAAACAAAGACACTCTACATTTTCTGCCAATTCCTCAATCCTTAAAACATTTTTTTTTCTTTCCATTAATAAAATATCTCTTCATAATGCATGAAGAAAAAAATCCTTGACAAACTACATAAAAATTGCACTCTTCTCCATGTACACGTATTAAGACATCTGTTAACAAAAAAACAATTTAATATAAAAATTTCCTTATAAAATCATAATGTAAATTTTGCATTTTATTCAACAACGCTACACTCCATTATATTTCACAAGCTGCATGCCCCGAAATCCTGTAAAGTCTTGTGTTAAAGTTAAAAATCTACAAAAAGCTCTTTTATATACAACAAATAATAATGTTGGACAATTTCTTGTGTCTTTTTCACAACAAAATCCTGGAATTTCTTATTGAACACAACACTAATGTTATTCCTTGGTTCCAATACTTTTGTTGCTGCATTGTCTTTCTTATTATTTTCATTGTGATAAAACTGGAAGAAAAAAAGGGACAATATGTAAAATACGATTTAACATACATTTTGATTAAATGGGAAAATGGAATAAAATCATTCATATCGATAAATCAGCAAAGGAAAGTAAAGTAATTAAGAGTCCAAATCAAGAAAAAGAGGTATTTGATTAATCATCAGCATCTGGCTAAGTATTGCCTGCAACAGAGCTATTTTCTGGCAACATTTTCCTATCGAGATAATCAATTTCATCATGAGAAAATGCAGCAAAGTGGAAAACTGACTATCTGCTTTGGCAGTGGATTTACATCGAAGTATCTATATATCTGAAATTTAACTGTGTCCACAATCTTTCTCAGAAGACAAGCATGCACAATTGAAATGAATCATTGCAGTATCCTCTAGAAGCTTTATCTAATTATTTTCGTAATATCACAAAGTAAATAGGGCCTTACCTAGAAACAGACATACATCAATAATATGTTTCTTTTTCTACCCAGCCACCAGGCCTATTTCTGAGTATCAACTTTCTACATTCATCATAGATAAAGATGGTCACACTGAATGGCAAGGCCGGGAACCACCATGATGCTCTGAAAAAAAAGAGAAAGAAATTTGATAAAAACTATCTACAAGAGCTCTTCTAAAATTTCATACTGTAAAAAGTTATCTCGTTTAGGTGTCTCTGTTTCAAATTTACTGACAATATTCTTACACTACCAATACTATACAGAAAAGTTTAAGCAATAAGAAACATTCAAGTATTAAATATTGCTTGTTAAATAAGATGGTTAACAAGTAATCTACAAGAACAGCAAGATGGTTACCTGAGGTTCTGCATACGAAGACCATTCTCAAGACCTGGACAGTATGTGAGGAAGGCTGCAAGAGCTGTCTCGAAGAAAAGACCAAAAGTCAAGTGATGGTTCCTGAAAAGAAATACAGTAATGTTACTCTCTTATTTACAAACAAACAGAATTCAGTTTCACCAATCTAACACTGTTATATTTATTTCAGATCTGTTTTAACATGGATAACAGTTACCAGACATCATGTTGAGATCAAATCCCTTATCAATTACATAAAAATCATTTCATAAAATTTTATCATTTTTTTTTAACAAATTGCATAAAAATTTCTTAACAAAAGAATTTGTATTTACTTCATTCCTTGCTGGAAGAGGGACAGTTTTCTTGTCTTACAAATGATCAAATCAGCCCACTGTACAATCACAATTGACACAAAGAAAGCTGTGTGACAGGTGTATTCCAATCGTTTCCTCTGTGCGTATGTCTGAAAAAAACATAGTTATTCTACATCAATACATGTGAGCAAATTTACTATTTTTTTCTCCTACTATTAAACAGTATCAAAATTTGAATTTTTTTAGCAAGTAACACTTCTTAAAGGTCAACAATCCACACCTGGACTTCAATTTAACTTGTATCAATTTACAACACAGGTAAAATGTCTCTCGGAATTAATAAAAGATCTGTAATCAGAAGAATCAATCTATTCTAATACCTCATTTCAACATTTCTGCTTATTAACTACACTTTTTGTGAAGCACATTAATTTTACACTCGTTCAGGATACATTTTTATCAAGCACATTTAAACTGATGAAATAACTTACCCATTCTTGTCCATATGAATCTTGTACATCATTGACACCTCTGGAATCCCACTGTTCTCGGAGTCCAAGCAATTTGGAGGCCCAGAAACCATTCTCTCCCATAATCACAAAGTATACAAAGAACCCAGCTGAAGCTTGGATCATACCAATCTGTCCATAAGCCATACTGATCAATCTGTAACAGGAGAACAAAACTGGTTTAAAAAAAGACAACAATACAATTTTCACTATTGCTAGTACTGTGCTTATTATCTACCTTTAAGTTAAACCTGCATTAAAATTTTAAGTTATTAAAGTAAAACAACATTTCCTCAGTTAATTAGGAAACATTGACAACCATGATAGGGCAAATTCTTAGCTAAAATGTGATTCATAAATTGTCCCTTTTAAAATTCAGTCTTTAAACATACCCCTTTTGTTTACAATTTGGTGAGTGGTCAAAAGTGGTAAAAAAGCTTCATGATGTCGTTTTCAGGGTTTTTTCATAGGGAGGGGAGATAGCCGGGACCCCCTGTCATTCCCAAATCAATTACACAAGTGGTGAGGTTCCAGTGGGAGTGGAATGCAAAGAATGAAAAACAAGAATGGGAGATTTCTGGGAAAGTGGATTCAGGGGGTTTAACATGGACTTCTTTTAATTGTAAGATAAACGGCCCTCCAAAACCATTACAATAGAGGGAAAGTTTTTCTAACAAGATCATGTCACGGCCTGTTTCTTACATACTACCAGCGATACCCCATAGCAACACCTAAAATTTTATATTCCATTAATTCATATTATTGTCAATAAAGCAATTTACACAAACTTAACAACCAAAGATAAGAGAATGATAATTTCAAATTTTTTTTTACTAACTAAAAAATTCTTTTTTTTTTAACCAATTTGGGAAATTTTTTTTTTTATTAAATAATTTTATATACCAAATCGGTTTTTTCAGGCAGGGGAACGTTACACCATCACATTAGCCACAATCCCTTGTCTCTGGAACCCTTTACAATAACAGTTTTGCCCGGGTGGGTCGGGGGAAACACAATTTTTGGATGTTTTTTAAGTCTCTTCAATCTGGAATGGGTTTATGTCTCTAAGTACTTCGTGGACGAACGGCCTTGGCTTACTGAAAAAAAATTTACAAAAATTTTACAAAAAGTTTTGCCCCACTTTAATGTAAAATCATTTTTTTCCCATTTGTCTGAAAATAATGACCATTACTTTTTCTATTTCAGATAAAGATAAATTAAAAAATTATTTGATGGGTCAACTCCTCGGGTGGATACCCTTTCTGCAGCAGATTTTAAAACAGTTTTGCTTCCTGAGAAATCCCTACCCCCTTCAATGGTTTTTGGGGAAAATTTGGATGAACCAGAAACCCATAAAAACCCTTCATACAAAAAGAGAGATCCATTAAGATACTTATGTAAAACATGGATCAAAATTTTGATAAATATATGTATATAAACAAAATCTAGCTAGACATTCAACTATCATCAATCTAAACAACCTTCAATACTCATTCAAGTATAAATGATCTTAATTTATTTCACACAATTGAAAAACATTTTTTTTCCGAAATAATTATTATATGCAAACCACAAAGATACAGCTAGTCTTGGACAATAATTTATTCATAGAAAGTTTAATTAATTTATCAATAGAAAGTTTATGCAAACTGTGCATTTCTTCATAGAGAAATTAACAAAAATCATCATACCTTGATACCAGCACTTCTGCATTTTCCTACAGCGTCGGGTACGGCAGCACGTGGAGGATCAATCATAGACATAAGACCAATGAATCGGAGTCCGGTCAATGGGAAGTTCGGGTCATCACCATCGTACTGGTAGCCTGGTGGGTACTGGTCAATTGGCAACACATAGTCACAGAATCCTGTAAAGAAACAATGAATATGAAATTTTTTCTCTGACAAAGAAAAACCCAAAAAATAGTAAAGTTATTTAATGAAATTACAGAAGTTATTTCATGAAGCCATCAGTCACTGCCTGGTTCCAAGAGCAAATTTAAGAGCTTATAGCTTCCAACATTAACTCAAACAAATTCCATATCAACCAACGATTTTCATACAAGTAGAAACTTTCTGGAACCCATGGTAATCATAAAGAGACAACAATACACAGTTATCAAATTTTTTTATCATACATACCCAATACTCTTTCTCCAAGACCTCCGAGTTCCATGTAGGCAACATTGAAAGCGGCTCTGAACTGATCATCAATGGGATACTCATTTCCATCCTTCAAGTAGCTTGAGCATCTGTCAAGGATACGTTCTGGGGCACCCTTCATTACCAAGATGCAACGAGGGTCATTTGGATCTTCAGTTTCATGGATAGATACCTGGAAAAATATAACAAATTGCACATTCATGCTCTTTCAACAATGTTTAACATACATTATTTAAAGAGTCATATAGTCATGTAATTAACTTGAAAACAGGGAAAAAAACAGATAAATTAATTTGAAACTGCCACGACATAACTACTTTAGAAAATCTGTAAAACTTATCTAACTTATTGAATTTGTCTGACAAAAATCTATTGGCTCTGGTAACTAAAAGTATAAACATACATACATAAATAAATCAGAAATATTATTACCTGGTATTTGTTCGAGGAGTTGAATGGGATCTCACAGATCTTCTTATTCCTGGCTCTGAATTGGGTAACGTTTCCAATGGACAGCTCAACACATTTCAACAAGGCTGATTCAGAGGCATCACCATTGCATTCTCTGTAAATATAACAAATCTTTATTTACTATTCAACCAATTATAATGGATGTAAAATTAAAAACATGATCACAAAATTTATTAACTTTTTAAATTCGTTTTCATCTTCCAGATGAGCCAATTTCAAGAAAATCAATATTGACAAAAATGCACTTAACTTTTAAGAAAAATAACATTCAAGATCCAAGTTATATTTTACATGTAATCATATGTGCAGGTTAAGACTGATTTTGCAGTGTTTTATCACCTTTTTTTCTACTGTGTTACTAATACATTAAGGACTGTTTTTGCGTATCTTGACCACTTTTTGTTAATTTTGTGGATTGTAAGTGCCAATTCCAATATGTAAATTAGTTTATTTGATCACCTTTAAATACATTTCCAAAATTTTCATCAAAATTAACATGAATCTGGAGGCTTGCTGCTTTAAAATAGATATTTAATCAAAGTAAAAATTAAATAATTTATTAACCTCTTAAGAACTGGTACTTCTTCCTGGTCTGCCTTGAACTCGGCTCTGTTACACAACATACTACATCTGGACAGGGCCAACCAAGATGGGTCAGATCGGCTGTAGGTGGAGTCTAAAAAATATATCAATTTGTCTTACAGTTATTGTCTTTGGAATCTCAGGTTCTAAGCCAAAAGCTTAAAATTAATAGCTGCTTCAATGTTGAAATTGTTAACAAAAGTGCATTCATACAGAAATTTAAGCATCTATTCTATATTTATATTATGACTCAATCATTCTGTCTAGTCACTTCTAATCAATCTTGACTGTTGCATTAAACATGGTTCTTGATCAATACCATCTTATCACTACAATATATTGTCTAAACATTGCAGATCATACTGAATTCATTGATTATCAAATAGTAAATATAAAATATTACTAATAAAGTCTGCAAAATATGAATATCAATACTTTTATAACACTTTAATGGCTTCCAGTCTATTGCATACAAACTCAATTATATGTGAATGTTCAAAAGAAATTAAGACACTGAAATATTAAAGAGGCTGGTGCAAGAAGTTAAGTGATTTTCTTATTTCAAGTGTGCCAATAAGGAAGTTGGTATAATAAATCTAAGTGCATGAATCATAAAGTGATTCTAATTCAACGAAATAAAATGTCTTCCTAAAAGATAGTTTATTTCATGCAAATCGCTCAAGCGTACTTGCGTGTCAATATATAACTATGCGTGTATTCAGTTTTTGTATGTAACTTCTTTTCAAGTGTACCATATCTTTAATAAACATTTTATTTACTAAAAACACGTAAATAAATACAGGTTATTTCACACCAAAGTTTTGATAAATATTGCAATGTTTTACATACCACTCAAACAAATAAGAAGTGCAATTAAGAAGTTTGTTAAAATGAAACATATGAAAGCCTGGTTAGCTAAGGAAAAATAATAATCTAGGATTTATAGTGTTCAAAGATGATGTGTTTTTGAGTGTTACATGGGGAATTGTGCAAATGATTCTCAGCATTTTCACAATCATAGTTGTGTATATTTGTCTAAGTTTAGAACATCACTTTGTCTTTACCTGGTTGTTCTGGTCAGTTAAAGGATTAAAATAAAAACAGATTTACATATATAAATCCATTGTAAACATTGCCTCAAGTTAGTGCCTACTTAATTTTAGTCACTAACTTTCAATACTTTTATAAAGAATGACAATTGTTTTCCCAACTTCCTTTAAGTAATTAAGTGTCAATGAAATGTCACCTTAATGTTTTACTTGTTAACAGATAAAGGTCCAATACTTTTACAGTTGTCTGTGTATTAATGTTCTATCTTAAGGTTAATGTAATGGATTATGCAGTCTCATTCAATGACTTTTATTAATATGAACAATGTCTTGTTAAAACTGACTTTTTAACAATTTTCCACATTTGCCATTTCTCTGTTACTTGGTAATACTAACACCAAAAACTTGATAATCATAGCGTAATAGTCTGATTTTATTTCTCAAAACCACTATATATAGCTATATAAATAGAATGTATTGATACTAAAACATCTATACAAAGTAGCTCTTTTATTCTTGTCAACCTTATGGCTACAGGAGATTTTAACATCCCAAAATTTAAAAAATACACTTTAATATGTAAAAAACTTACTGGACTGGGCATGCCCTTGGATAGCTTTTTCTTTTCAATTTTGGGGCCAAACAAACCCAAAATGTGAGGACTGTCATTCCTGCTTTGTGAGGGTGCCCGTCTATCCGAGCAATGGGGATGTTGATCCGAAGAGTTTCCCACACTTCCCAAATTTCTTTACAAGACAGTTTTTTTCCTTGGGCCAGTTGGGACGTTTTGTTTGGAAGGGGCAGTTTGGGCTAAACACGAACCCTTTATAAAGAAAAATCAAACATACACCAAAAGATAAGAATTTACAACTTCTACTTTAACAAATTTATCCTACTGATTTTATCATTGGGAAACTGGTAAGGGATTGCTAATTTCCCAAAAAAAAAAATACAAAATTAAAATGAATCTTTAACATTTTAAAAATTTTTAGTTGGGAAGACTAAAAATTTTCAGGGTGGAAAAAGGGAAAGATTTCAGTTTCAAACTAAGCTAAATACCAAGAGCATAAAATAAAAAAGAACTTGAAAACTCTTATCAGTTTAGCAATTACTTACAGTGACAGTAGCCAGCAGACCTTCGGGTACATTAGCCACAATGATACCAATCAAGAAGATGACGGCATCCAACCAGAAGTAACCAAGGATGAAAGCAATGATGAAGAAAGTGACTCCAAGGAACACAGCTACACCAGTAATCAAATGGATGAAATGGGCAATTTCCTTTGCAATTGGGGTATCTCCAACTTCCAAACCAGATGCCAAATTGGCAATTCTTCCCATGACAGTTTTGTCTCCGGTCTTGATTACAATACCACGGCATGTACCTAACAATTCAAAAAGTATGAATATAAAACAAAAGCAAAACACTGCAATTTTGTTTACTAAATGATCTTATCCAATTCAAAGCAGAAAACTAGACTTATTTAATCTTGTTATCGATGCATAAGATGTGAGTAACAAACAGAAACAAATAATCGTGAAACAAAGGGACATACTAACCTTCTACAGCATTTGTTGAGAAGAAAGCCAAGTTCTTGGTTTCCAGTGGGTTTTCATGTGTAAATTCTGGTGTTCTGGAGCAGGGTTCGGATTCTCCAGTAAGTGAAGAGTTGTCAACCTGAATTATTCATACAATATTCAATTGTCAATATTTTATGTCCTTTCATTTGCAAAAAAAGTTTATGTTAATTGTAGAAGGAAGTACTAACAGTACTGAAAGCCATATAAAGGAAAGAAAAACTTATAATTCATGCAGCGATATGTAATAATTGAGTTTGTTTTATAATTATTCACAAAATTCTTTCAATGCCAAGGGCAAAGCCCCTTATTTTACTATTCTGAAAATGTTAATGCTTAACAAGAATTTTGGTGTTTTTCTCAATCTTATACAAACCTTGAAGCTATGGCCAGAGATAATTCTGATATCAGCAGGCACTCTGTCACCAAACTTCACATCAACGATATCACCAACAACCATTTCAGCTGCCCTTATGTCTTTCTTTACACCATTTCTGATAACAATTCCATACTGAAAACAACAATTTTTTTTTCTTTTTTAATCATATCCTGCTATATCGAAAAAGTATCAACGAAATAATGTGGAAAATTAGCCTTTAAAATGTGTTCTTTTAAAATTTTTATCAATTACAACATCATCATGTAAAATTCAAAGTTTTATAATATGAATACAAAGTATATTGGCACATTATTATCCTCATTATAAGAACCCCGCATTATCTCAAAAATATTTCACATAGATAGCAATAACAATAACATAAACCTCTTAACACCACTAGGTTTTGAGAAAATATCCAGACTAGTTCTTACCTGAGGTACCATGTCCTTGAATGAGTCCATAATCCTTGAACTTTTGGCTTCTTGATAATATGAGAAACAACCAGTAACTACCACTACACCAGTCAATACAATACCCAGATACAACTGCAATAATAAAACACGTCAAATTAATATATTCATGCAACTAATTGATGGGAGCATTTCATGATTTAAACATTCGAACTTTCAATGTCAATGCACCGGAATAGAACCACTGACGTTCTGTAAGCTTGCTAGATAGCTTCCTCATATGAAAGGATCCAAATACCCTGTCTGGATTTGAAGACAAACCTTTAAGAGCAATACAATGCATGAGAATTAAGGTTTCAAGCATAATCATTAACCTTGATTGCATCAGAAGTAATATACAACTTAAGTGTTTAGATATTTAATACAAAAATTTTCATCACATTTTTCTTCGACTTTAAACATTTGAATAATACAAATTATACATACGTTATCTCCTGGAACATCCTCCATTTGGGAAGCCTGGATAGAGTAAGCAATGTAACACAAGATGGCACCAATCCACAGCAACATAGAGAAACCTCCAAACAGCTGCTTACAAAACTTCAACCATTCTGGAGTTGTCTTGGGTGGAGTCAATTCATTTGGTCCGTCCCTTTCTAGTACCATTCTAGCGTGTTCTGGTGTCAAGCCCTGAAAAATTGTGAGTATAATATTCAGAAACATTGTATTTTACATGGAAAGCTTAGTAAGCGAGACTTAAATTTTAAAATTTTCAAACTAAACCTGATTTTTCTGTTTCAGTTACCGACATATATGTAAAAGCATTGATTGCAATATAAATTCACCCAATTTATAACAATTTACACATACCATGTTAGGATCTGTGTTTAATCTACTGTATAGCTCTGTAATGGGGATTTTGTGCTCATCCATGGTAAGCTCCTGTTTAAGCTCATCCATGTCTGCCTTCTTCCCCTTCTTTCCTTTCTTCTTACCACCTTCATCTCCAGGTGTGACTGCATAGCGATAACTGTCTTGTCGTGGTCCCTAGAATCAAACAATTTAACAAAGTCAATCACTAACAGTGACCAATGCATGATTAACATTATTTTTTTTATTCTACTTTTCATCAAAATGGAAGTGTAGGACAATAAGACCATTTTATCCAAAGAGTGGCAAACCATTCCAGAATTTATTTAAATTAACCAACTGTATGGATTTAAGAATTGATAAAATGTAAAAAAAATCAGAAAGGAGCAAATTAAGACTTATCAAGCTTTCAATTCGTTTGTTTGGTTCACTTACTAAATTAGCTTATTCCATAAATACTGGGCATTTTCACTCTATTACCCCCATAATAAGCAGTGTTTTTTTTTCCAGGATTTTGGGAACATGACCCATACCCATGGAATTTGGAATTTCAGCGATGTTTTGTTAAAATTTGGGAAAAATTGCATGACTTAAATTTTGCAGTGATTAAATGAATGCAAAGAATAACTGTCTAGGAAGGCATCTTCAAACTATTAAACACCATAACAGTGAAGAAGTCCTTATTTTCTAAGATTTTAGAATTTGTTATTAAATATTTTTATTTTGTAACTTTCAATTGGGAATTTTTTCCTGTGGATTGGGAAAATAATATACTATTTTCGATTGGGAATATGACCGAATATCGGCTATAAAATAAGGCAAAAAAACCCTGATAAGGACCCATTCCCAATCCAAAATAGCCTCTTTTTTTT